GATGGGTGTGTTTTACTTTTTTTTGTGTATTCCATCATTAATTTTGAACGTGACTCTGTTGAACACAATATCAAGGATATTAAAGACATATTTTCCCTCAAAATTTTTCTTTTTTTTAACAATATTTAAATTTCAATTTTAGTTGTTGTTTATTGTTTTTTTGTTTTCAAAAATCAATAACTAACCTATTTACATTAAAATTTTATAGTTCTTTTTCACATTTTTAATATATATTTGTCTTGTTTGGTTTTCCTTGTAGTACAAGTAAGTTTCTATTATTTACCTTTCTCAAACTTGTAAAAGGCGTTTTGTGGAAAGTTTGCCAGCTGTGCGGCTCGTTTGGCCTTTTTTAGAAATATGTGGTCGTTTGGTCGGTGTGTAATGAATGCGTTGAAAATGAACTGAACTATTAAGTAGCATGTAGAATATGGTTTTGAATAGAAATTTATAAAGTTTTTATGTAAATTAGGAAAATGCAGAAAACAATGTACACACATACATACATATGTAGTTCAAGTAGATAACTGAAAAAGGGTTAGATGTGGTAGATCTATCTATGTGGTTATATTACAAGTTTTTGTTTTGTTTATTATAAATGTTTAGTTAACATTTGTTGTTTATATGTAAAATTTAAAAATAGGTTATTTTTTACATTTTCTTATCAATCCTTTTATGCAACAGTGTAGAAATTAATTAAGACTTTACGAAAAATCGCTATTAAAATCGAGAAATCCTAAAAAATTTCCTTGAATTTTGAAGCGAGTATTAAAGGCAAATGCTATAAATCTCAGACAGTTAGTAGGATCTTAGCAAAAGAGATCGAACTAAAGTTCGTTCGAAGATTGTCAACTAACGAAAGATGTAGGTAACAACCAAAAGTTTTTACCAATCAACAACTATCAGCAACAGCTTTTGTGGCGTCATATGGAACCACGTAGAACTACATATGTTCATATCTCCATTGCCATTGTAAATTTGATAATCATGTTAGACGTCGTATTGGTCTTCCATATAATGTCTGAGACGGAAGCTTATCTTCGCTGTAATTGTCGTGACCTGAAAATAACGATTTTTGAATCTGTCAAAATAAATGCGAAATTCTCGCATAAGTTAGTAAAATAGCCTAGACACATGTAAAGGGACCAAGTTATTGTGGCCCTCCTTCAATGAGAAGCACAAAAGACACCTTATAAACCGAAGTATGCGGGACATATCGAGGTTCAGGCATGGGGAGTAATGATTACACAAAGTAATTCATTATATGGTTAATTACAATTACTTGTAATGTGTAATTGAGGTTTTTCCCATTACAATTACTTGTAATGTGTAATTGACCAATAACCAATTAAAATAACTTGTAATTGTAAAGGTTATTCAAATGTAACCGTAATTGAAAATATAGTCAATACCCACCAGACCTGGGCGATTTCCATTAATTTTGCATTATCATTAAATTAAAAAAATATTAATTTGATAATATGATAATAATGATTTAATATTGCATTAACATTAAATTTGTAAAATTTAATGCATAAAATTTGCATTAACATTAAATATTTTTGAATTTAATGCATTAATTTTACATTAACATTAAATATTTTGAAATTAATGCATTAATTTTGCATTAACACTAAATATTTCTGAAATTAATGCATTAATTTTCCATTAACATTAATATATATAAAAATTGATAAACAATAATAAAAATACAGCGCCAAAGACCTCGATCTAAATAAATACAATTAAAATGTAAGGGGTTAAAGTCGTTTCTAATAATTTCTATATTCCATTCAAACTTGTGAGTTTTAAATATGATACATATTTACATTTAAGGTTATATAAGATTTCACAGTGTGACAAAATAAACAAAAAAAGAATACGTGGGATATGTAATATCGAGTATAGGACTAATTAGAAAGGACTTAAACACATGGCGCTGTATTTTTATTTTTATAAATTATTATATCGAGCCCTTTTCGCACAAAAGACGTAACCGACAAAAACTAAATTTTACAGGAGAGCATTTTTTTTAATTATCTTCGAAGTAGGACATAGCATTACTCCAAAACTCCGTTAATAAATATTATTACATCTAAAGTATGGGATGCAGTTTTTTTCGTTTTTATATTGACGCTATATCCGATTTTTTTGTCGCTTACGTCTTTTTTGCCGAGACAAATTTTTATGATATAAACAATGTTGAGGCGGTTACGTCTAAATTCTCTGTCTAAAAAAAATATTTTTTGGTGTATATCTTTATATAATTTGTATAAATCTGAAATTTAAGAGTGTAATAAATATTTTTTATAAGATTTTAAGATCATCTAGGGATGTCTGTATGTCAGTCTTTTTGTTGAAAACCGGTTAGGTTCCGACCGTTATGAGCTAGAGTGATGAAATTCTCCAAAAATCCTTATTAATGACAAATATTGTTTTGTGTTAATAATGGGCAAAATCGGTTCTTGATTTCACTTAGCCCCCATACAAGTACCTCCAGGATTATAGTTAAAACAGTAATAAATATGTTGTTTATGTAGCAATCGCTATAAAATTTTGCAGAAGTCGGTTATATATACCTGTAAATTATGTTGGGAAGTATGACAAATGTCAGGCAATATTTAACCCTAGCCTGCATATATGGACACTGTAAGACAATGATTTTATGACCATAGCAGTCTTAAAAATACCAGTCAGCAACGAAATTTGATGTATGATGATGTTTAGGAAGGTATGCCCCTCATACAGAAAATAAGTTTACAGTTAATAAATCTTTCAAAAATTAAGAAAGTATGATGAAATTCTACAAAAAAATTAGTTTTCAAAACTAATCACGCGTTTAAATTCTATAGACCTCGGTCCACAATTGACCTAATCCCCCATTAAAGGCCGTATTCTGAAAATCACACTGATGTCTACATTAATATCCATACATGGTAGTACAATTCGTCTTATATCGAATAAATAAGTAAATTCTGGGAGTATTGATTCATTAAGAGTCCATATACAGGTCCGCCTTTCGAAATCCACAAATTTACAACCAAATATAAGAGATGGTTAAATGGTAATTATATAAATGCAATGTAATTAGTAATTAGAATGAACTAAATTCATAAAAAGTTATAGAAAATTATAAATTTTAGCACAAAAATTGCAATGGCATAGTGATAATTACATGAATTTATAACAATTATACTCAGATATGTGGCATTTCATTCAGAAACAAATTCAATACGTTAATTTGTTCAAAATTTTTCTATAAATTTAATATACTTTAAAAGAAAATTTAGATGTAACTGTTAAAAAATTCATAAACAGAAAATTAATGTGTACTTACGTCTTTTTTCTTTTTCTTTTAAAGTTGAAACCATTGGGTCTATAGCTACGAAATAGTTAGTTAGTTAGTTAGTTAGCTAGTTAGTTAGCTAGTTAGTTAGCTAGTTAGTTAGCTAGTTAGTTAATTAGTTAGTTAGTTAGTTAGTTAGTAGTTAGTTAGTTAGTTAGTTAGTTAGTTAGTTAGTTAGTTAGTTAGTTAGTTAGTTAGTTAGTTAGTTAGTTAGTTAGTTAGTTAGTTAGTTAGTTTAGTTAGTTATTTCGTTCGTTAGTTAGTTTCGTTAGTTAGTTCGTTCGTTTCGTTCGTTAGTTAGTTAGTTAGTTAGTTAGTTAGTTAGTAGTTAGTTAGTTAGTTAGTTAGTAGTTAGTTAGTGTTAGTTAGTTAGTAGTTAGTTAGTAGTTAGTTAGTTAGTTAGTTAGTTAGTTAGTAGTTAGTTAGTTAGTTAGTTAGTTAGTTAGTTAGTTAGTTAGTTAGTAGTTAGTTAGTAGTTAGTTAGTTAGTTAGTTAGTAGTTAGTTAGTAGTTAGTTAGTTAGTTAGTTAGTTTAGTTAGTAGTTAGTTAGTTAGTAGTTAGTTAGTTAGTTAGTTAGTTAGTTAGTTAGTTAGTTAGTTAGTAGTAGTTAGTTAGTTAGTTAGTTAGTAGTTAGTTAGTTAGTTAGTTAGTTAGTTAGTTAGTTAGTTAGTTAGTTAGTTAGTTAGTTAGTAGTTAGTTAGTAGTAGTTAGTTAGTTAGTTTAGTTAGTTAGTTAGTTAGTTAGTTAGTTAGTTAGTTAGTTAGTTAGTTTGTTTGTTTGTTTGTTTGTTGTTTGTTTGTTAGTCAATATCAAATTTAAATAAAAGCCACAGAAATATTGTAAAATAAAATTAACTTTTTTCTTAAGAAAAATATAAATCATAAAGTTAATAAACAGTTTCTTACTCTCCTATTAAAATAGTTAATCTAAGAACTTCTTTAATCATTAGTAATCAACACACTAATGATATTCCAGTATCATTTTGTAATACAAAGTTATTATTCATTAACAATTCAAATACTTTAATATTCATGGCATGTGGTTTTAATTACAGTTTTTATTATTTTTTGTAACTAGAATATTAAAATTATTATAAATTATGTTCCTCTGACATTTTCACTGAAATTATTTTATTTTTAACTAAACATATGTAAAACCAATTAAAAATATCAATTGAGTTTAGTATTAAAACAGGCTGTTTAAATTTAACTTTATTATTAACTCTATGAGTCAAATATCAAAGTTTAAACTAATAAAAGTGAAATAATTTTAAAAATATATATACCAATTTTTTATTAACACGTTATACACAAATTACTTAGTACATAATCTTTATTAACTTAATCCTCAAAGGGGATATTTCCTTATCGTTTAGCGACAAATCATTGATCTATAAATTAGTATTTAGAGAATTTGTATTTATCAATGAATACTAATAGTTTTAAAATTAAAAATAAAAGTAATATCACACACATACAATTGTTTTTATGACGTTTTATAATAGAAAATAATGCCATAAATGCATTTTATACTTTTTTATTTCTTTAGTAGCTACTTGTTCTTTAATAAATATAAATAAAAATGATTCATTTCTTATTAAGAATTTGTTTAAAGAGAGTATTTTTAATTTTTATTGTGTTTTTTTTTTTAATTGCAGTTGCTGCTTTTCGAAATGCTGATAAAAACGTTTAAATTTAATGCTTGTGGTAAGTGAATGTTTATTAAGTGTATTTTTTTGTAGAATACAAAATAATTCTGTAATCGAGCTTTAATCATAATCTAGGTAAAAACTAAAATTGTAATACTTACCATTCGAATCAAAATACTAACAGGAGTATAGTGGGTAGTAAATCAGTAATAGTTCTTACAATACTACCCTCGTATAAGTAATTTCCCATTACATAACCTCACTATATATACAGGGTTATTAAAACTAAATAGCTAGAAATAGTGTTTTATTGCTAAAAAATCTTGTTACAATTATTACGTTTTATTATTTGCAACAGCTATCAGTTAAAAAAAAACACATCCATGGCGTTACCGTTATTTACAACTGTCAACACTTGTATTTTCCCCAACAAAGTAATTGAAAGAGAGAGAGTGTGTATTGTATGTATGAGAACTGTCAAACAAAGTGGATTACATTAAAAATACAATCAATGACAAGAAAAAGTTCGAGAAATTAAAACAAGTAAGAATGTATAGTTGGGTATGGTCGACCATAAGTTACGCTACACCAATATAGATCTTTTTTACTTTAATTCCGAAATATTTTAAGAATTTTTTGACAAAAAGTGATTTTCTGAAAGTAGGGTTATATTATTAACCTTAATTTATCCGAAACGTTCAAGAGAAAATATCCGAAACTTCCATAAAAAGATATGTATGGGTGGGGCTCTTGATTCATTCCGTATCTTATTCATTTAACACCAACTCACTCTCAACTTTCACTCCCAAAGTTACTGCTAACTGTTGCCTTTTTTGGCAACAGCACTGAACTTATCCCGAAATATAGATTTCAACGTGTAACAACTCTTTCTCTCGGATTGCAATCACACCAAGATGGGGGTTGTTTAATCAAGGTGACATTCCCCGAGAGGACGTGTGAATAAAATCTACCATATAATTTTCCGACCGTATAAAGTTTATATGTTCCGAGTCCTTTTAGATTATCTACCTAAACTCATTTTTGACATACTGTATATTTCTTAGTACCTGATAGTCATATACAAATAATAACATTGATTGCTAAACTAAGTACTTGGTGTACAGGTGATTATTTTCTGTTGTCCTTAAGTTATTTAATATGAACTAGAAAAAAGTTTAAATCAGACATGAATGAACGAACATTTATATAAAATTAATTTTTAAATCATCCATTAAAAGAAAAACAACTTATATAATACTTACAATGACTTTATTATCATTATACATGTAATTATTTATAAAATATTTACCACCTAATGTTATATGTATGTATGTATGTATGTAAGTAAATTTGACAATTTACTTAATTAAAGTCATTTATAATGGATTTGTTAACCGACTTTTAATGATAACAAGTTTATGCTTTTAGTTAATATTATTAAGCAATAAACTATTAAATATAAAACATTATTTAAATGAACAATGTCAGAGCTATCTTAATGTTTATTACATAAAAGGTTAATGTATTAAGATCAAAGTCTTTACATTGTTAATAATTAACTAGTTTTGATAATACTACAGACAACAGCAATTGTAAAGGTAGATTCCCTAATCATTTTCAAAATATTATTAAAAATAAATAAAATATTTTGGACAGTTTTTTCGTGAGTCGGTCTAATGTGCAATGTTTGTATAAAATTTTATTTAAGAGTTTATAGTGGGAATTTCCTTGCAACATTAAAATGAAAAGTCAAGATTTGGATAGACCACAAATGAGCGATAAGTTAAACAATAATATTTCTTTTCGAATACTCAGAATTATTTTATGTGGTGTTGGGAATTACGTCCCTAAAAGTGCTAGAAAACATTTGCGGTTAATTTACTAATATGTTTAGATTTATACTTCCCAATATTCGGTTTCAGTTCTGGTATGAGTTTTTAGCAATTTGTAAATAAATTTTAGTATGTTTAAGAACTACGAGAAGTAATTATTAAATTCTATAGATAGATAGATAGATAGATAGATAGATAGATAGATAGATAGATAGATAGATAGATAGATAGATAGATAGATAGATAGATAGATAGATAGAAAGATAGATAGATAGATAGATAGATAGATAGATAGAGTAGATAGATAGATAGATAGATAGATAGATAGATAGATAGATAGATAGATAGATAGATAGATAGATAGATAGATAGATAGATAGATAGATAGATAGATAGAGAGATAGATAGATAGATAGATAGATAGATAGATAGATAGATAGATAGAAGATAGATAGATAGATAGATAGATAGATAGATAGATAGATAGATAGATAGATAGATAGAGATAGATAGATAGATAGATAGATAGATAGATAGATAGATAGATAGATAGATAGGATAGATAGGATAGATAGGATAGATAGGATAGATAGGATAGATAGGATAGATAGGATAGATAGGATAGATAGGATAGATAGGATAGATAGGATAGATGGATAGATAGGATAGATAGGATAGATAGGATAGATAGGATAGATAGGATAGATAGGATAGATAAGGATAGATAGGATAGATAGATAGATAGGATAGATAGGATAGATAGCTCGATGCTGATGGCTAGCTAGGCTCGCATGGCTAGATAGGCTAGATCGGCTAGCTCGGTCTTCGGATAGCTTGGCTAGCTAGGCTAGATAGGCTCGGCGGCTCGCTAGGATAGTCGGATCGATAGATAGATAGGCTCGGATAGGATAGCTAGGATAGCTAGGATAGATAGGATACGATCGGCTCGCTCGGATCGATAGGCTGCTCGGCTAGCTATGGATATGCTCTGGATAGATAGGCTAGATCGCTCGATAGGCTCGATAGGGATTCGCTCGGATAGCTTGTAGCTAGGCTGTAGGCTCTATAGGGTCGCTCGGATATCGTGGATTCTAGGATCTATAGGATATATCGGATAGATAGGAAGATGGCTAGATCGGAAGGTCGGCTGATCGGATCGCTAGGATCCGATAGGTAGATAGGATAGGTGGATTGATGGATAGATGCTAGGTAGATAGGATGGTAGTAGGTATGCTAGATAGGATAGATGGGTAAGATAGGATAGATAGTATCGATAGGATAGATAGGATCGATAGGATCGATAGGATTGATAGGATAGATAGGATAGATAGGATAGATAGGATAGATAGGATAGATAGGATAGATAGGATAGGTAGGATAGATATGATAGATAGGATAGATAGGATAGATAGGATAGATAGGATAGATATGATAGATAGGATAGATATGATAGATAGGATAGATAGGATAGATAGGATAGATAGGATAGGTAGGATGTAGGATAGATAGGATAGATAGGATAGATAGGATAGATAGGATAGATAGGATAGATAGGATAGATAGGATAGATAGGATAGATAGGATAGATAGGATAGATAGGATAGATAGGATCGATAGGATCGATAGGATAGATAGGATAGATAGGATCGATAGGATAGATAGGATAGATAGGATAGATAGGGTAGATAGGATAGATAGGATAGGATAGATATGATAGATAGGATAGATAGGATAGATAGGATAGATAGGATAGATGGGTAGCTAGGATAGTAGATAGATCGATAGATAGGTAGATCGATAGGATCGAAGGCTAGCTGGCTTAGTAGGTGTGGATAGATAGGATAGATATGATAGCTAGGATTAGTGGTAGATAGGATAGAGGTTGGATGATATATTAGGAGTCGGATAGATTGGGAGCTCGGATTCGGTATCTAGGATAGATAGGATGAGAGGTTAGATCGGAAGGTATCTGGATCGCTAGGGATAGGAGAGAGGATCGATAGGATGATATGGATAGATAGGATAGATAGGATCGATTGAGGATAGAAGTGATCGATAGGATAGATAGGATAGTTAGGATAGATAGGATGATAGGATAGATAGGATATATAGGCAGAGATAGGATAGATTGGTATATAATATAGATAGGATAGACTGGATATATAGGATACTATCTATCTATAGCTAGATAGGATGGATAGGAATGATAGTATTGATAGAATGGATAGAATGGAGAGGACGGATAGGTTAGATCGGATATATAGCATAGATTGGATATATAAAGGCGAAGAACGACTCAACTCGAAAGCGTATCGTCTTCAATTTGGTACCTAATATTGGTCTTTACACTGGTCTGAATGACCAAATGGTCTTTTCCTTTTGTGTCAAAATCATTACTTTTGTTCTTACTAAACTATTTCTCAAAACATTGAAACCGATGGGTCACATTCCCTATAAGTTTCAGTGAGCAATCGGTATGTTTCAGCGGTCCTTTATTTGGAAATTTAAGAACTAAAGTAAATCTTCCCGCTTACGACCCTTTGGCGCAAAATTTAATGTTTTAGAAGTAAAAAAAATACTTTTCTAACAATTTTTTTCCTATATCTTTTTCAGAACACTCATTATAATACCAGCAAACCACTTTTGATCAATTGCAATAACCTGCAATGCGGTACCAGAAAACACGTAAAAAATTATTTAACAAAAACAACAGCAATAACAACAACATTTTTAACTATACAACAATAGCAATAAATTTATACAATTATCGACAAAAAGACGACATACAAGTACAACAACAGCAACAAATATTTGATACATAATTTAAAAAAAAAAAAAAATCACTGTAATAATTTTAATTTATTTGTTTTTCAAACGGAACCCTTTAAAAGACAACAACAACAACAACAACACAATTGGCAAATTTGTTTTGGAAAAACTAAAAAAAACGTTTACTTTTAGTCTATTTAAAGACTAAAACAAAGAAAGAGCTAGCGATATTTGAAGTCAAAGGTCATGTTTGAAAAACGTTCCATTTGGGGTTTAATAGTGGGACTTAATGTCTGCATACTAATATGGTTGATCTCAGTACAAGAGCCGGTTATGTATGATGCCAATACAGCGGCTATAAGTAGTAGTAGTAATAATTTTATAATAAATGCGGCATCAGGAGGAGGAGGAGCGGGAGTGGGAGTGGGAGCAGGAGGCGGGGGCTGGGGTAGAGATTTATTATCAAAACATATGCCCGCCCAAAGTAATGAGTACTTAGATGAAGTGACATTAGCAGCCTCAACTTTAACCACCTCAAATTTTAGTCAGAACCACAACAACAACAACAACAGCAGTAGCAATTTTAATAATAATAATAATAATTTTAATGTGTTTGATGACAAGACCACCACAAAAACCAGCGATTTGTCAGCGGACATACAATCACTCACCTCTAGTCTGGGCACAGGAGTGCTGGATTTGAAAATCAAACCCACACCATCATGGGCTACACTAACTGCTGTCTCATCAGCACTGCCGCCGCAAGACTTTAATCAATTGATAGATTTACACAATTTTCAATTTCTCATGCCACAACCCGTCTGTAGCAATCACATAGAAGCCTTAATTCTAATACATTCAGCACCGAAAAACTATGAAAAACGTGAAATCATACGAGAAACCTGGGCCAGTATAAGTCATCATAGAGCCGAATCTCCACTACGGGTACTCTTTCTACTGGGCGCTGTTGAAAGTGAACAAGTGCAAGAGGATTTAGAAAATGAAAATAACCAGTATAGAGATATTATACAGGGCTCTTTTATAGATGATTATCGCAATATGACCTATAAACATATAATGGCCTTTAAATGGTTTCTCTATAATTGTCCGCAGGCTCAGATTTTGATTAAGGTCGATGATGATGTCTATGTAAATACACCACAGCTAATAAAGTACCTTAGAGAGCAGCAGATGCAGCAGCAACAACAGCTAAATAAAATGAATAACAATGACAAACCCACCATTGCTACAGCAGTAACAGTGACACCAAATAAAACTTCTACTACCACCACCAGCACAACAGCTTCTACAATATTTCATAAACTCAATATCTTTGCCTCAGAAACACCTCCTTCATCCGAATCATCAACGGCATTTAATGCCTCACAACAGCTCTTTAATCATCCTGAAAATCTATTGTTTTGCCAAAAAATCATTGGTTCATTGGTTAAACGTTCCTATCGTTCGAAATGGCGTGTTAGTTTTAAAGAATACTCCGAACGTTATTATCCACCCTATTGTCCGGGCTATGCCATTATCTATTCACCCGATATTATCTTCCGTCTTTATAAAGCTGCTCAAAATTTCAAATATTTTTGGATTGATGATGTTCATATAACCGGCGTTTTGGCCCAACAAACGAATACAACTATAACCACCTCATCACATTATGTACTGTATAGTAACGAATGTGATCAAATCTTAACGGGCAAGACTGATCTCAGTAAAACGGAATTTTTATTCGCTTGGCATAGTATATCAGCACAAAAAATCAAATTACTCTGGCATCTACAAATGATGTCCATACACTCGCTGGATGATTTACACTACAACAAAGAGTTAAAGATGAATGATGTCTATGAAATGCAACGACAACGGCAGCCTCAACAACGACAGCGTCAGTCAGAAGATATTGTTGAGAATTCATCATCATCATCATCCTACACATATACCTCGGCGAATGGCTTCAGATAGTAGCCTGGCGTTTAGCTAATGACAGAAAGAAAAAACTCAAACACACACACACACATCAAACATAAGAAGAAACACACAAAAACGCTTATATTACTTTAGTCTGTTTTAGTTTATAAGTTTATTTTTTTTATTATAACTCTAAAATTATACACCTAATATTATTTAGTTTTTTTTTATTTAAGTTAGTTAAGTATGTTTTGTAAATATTTCATTTAAGATTTGTTATGCAATTACAGTGAGTGAGTTTGGACAATAGTTTAAAGCTTTCAAAACTTTTACGATATTTGTTTTCTTTTTTTTTTTGAAAACAAACTTTTTCTATTTGCTGTGTTGCTTAAATTAAGCTTTTTATATAAGAAAATGTGTAAGATCCACTCTCACTTGTTTTTGTTTTAACAAATATTAAATGAAATCTATTATTTTTTTAAAAAATTCTAAATTAAAACAAATCAATGGCTTTAATTATGTTTTCCTTTTTATATTGTTTTTTGTTTGTTTTTAAATTCAAATTAGAAACTAAGTTATTTGTTTAATTTAATTACACTATTCTGCAAAAAGAAAAATGAAAAATGGTGAAATATTCAATACTGAAAATAGAAAAAAAATTTTTAAAATCAATATCGATATTTGAATATTGAAATTTTTTCTAAAAGAAATTTTCAAAATCAAACAGTTTTCTTAGAAAATTTGTCAAAATCGTATGGTTTTCTTTGAAAAAATTCAGTATCGAAATATTTTCTTTGAACATTTTTCAAAATCTATAACTATTTCAGAATCGAAAGTTTTCCAATATCTTTCAATTTAGAAAAGTTTTTCATGAATATTTTTCAATATCGTACAGTTTTCTAGGAAAATCTTTCAATATCGAAACAATTCTATGAAAACTTTTCAATATCGAAAAGTTTTATTTGAAAATGTTTTAATATTGAAAAGTTTTCTTTAAAAATCTTTCAATATCGAAAAATTTTTTATAAAAAATCTTTTAAAATTGAAATTTTTTTATAAAAATCTTTCAATATCGAAAAATTTTCTATGAAAATCTTTCAATATCGAAAAATTTTTTATAAAAATCTTTCAATATCGAAAAATTATCTATAAAAATCTTTCAATATCAAAAAATTTTTTATAAAAATCTTTTAATATCGAAAAATTGTTTATAAAAATCTTTCAAAATCGAAACTTTTTGATAAAAATTTGCTATGAAAATCATTCAATATCGAAAAATTTTGTATAAAAAATCTTTTAAAATTGAAATTTTTTTATAAAAATTTTCAATATCGAAAAATTTTCTATGAAAATCTTTCAATATCGAAAAATTTTCTATGAAAATCTTTCAATATCGAAAAATTTTCTATGAAAATCTTTCAATATCGAAAAATTTTCTATGAAAATCTTTCAATATCGAAAAATTTTCTATGAAAATCTTTCAATATCGAAAAATTTTCTATGAAAATCTTTCAATATCGAAAAACTTTCTATGAAAATCTTTCAATATCGAAAAGTTTTCTATGAAAATCTTTCAATATCGAAAAGTTTTCTATGAAAATCTTTCAATATCGAAAAATTTTCTATGAAAATCTTTCAATATCGAAAAATTTTCTATGAAAATCTTTCAATATCGAAAAATTTTCTATGAAAATCTTTCAATATCGAAAAATTTTCTATGAAAATCTTTCAATATCGAAAAATTTTCTATGAAAATCTTTCAATATCGAAAAATTTTCTATGAAAATCTTTCAATATCGAAAAATTTTCTATGAAAATCTTTCAATATCGAAAAATTTTCTATGAAAATCTTTCAATATCGAAAAATTTTCTATGAAAATCTTTCAATATCGAAAAATTTTCTATGAAAATCTTTCAATATCGAAAAATTTTCTATGAAAATCTTTCAATATCGAAAAATTTTCTATGAAAATCTTTCAATATCGAAAAATTTTCTATGAAAATCTTTCAATATCGAAAAATTTTCTATGAAAATTTTCAATATCGAAAAATTTTCTATGAAAATCTTTCAATACCGAAAAATTTTCTATGAAAATGTTTCAATATCGAAAAATTATCTATGAAAATCTTTCAATATCGAAAAATTATCTATGAAAATCTTTCAATATCGAAAAATTTTCTATGAAAATCTTTCAATATCGAAAAATTTTCTATGAAAATCTTTCAATATCGAAAAATTGTCTATGAAAATCTTTTAATATCGAAAAATTTCTATGAAAATCTTTCAATATCGAAAAATGTATATGAAAATCTTCAATATCGAAAAATTTATATGAAAATCTTTCAATATCGAAAAATTTATATGAAAATCTTTCAATATCGAAAAATGTTCTATAAAAATCTTTCAATATCGAAAAATTTTTCATAAAAATCTTTCAATATCCAAAATTTTTCTATTGAAATCTCTATATAGAAAATTTTTCCATAAAAAGCTTTTAATATCGAAAAATTTTCAATGAAAACTTTCATCAACCAAAAATTTTCTATAAAAATCTTTCAATATCGAAAAATTTTCTTGAAAATTTTTCAATATCGAAATATCTTCTATGAAAACTTTTCAATATCGAAGAAACTTCTATGAAAATTTTTCAATATGGACATTTTTTCTATAAAAATCTTTCAATATCGAAAATTTTTCTAAAAAAATCTTTCAATATAGAAAAATTTTCTACAAAAATCTTTGAATGACGAATAATTTTCTACGAAAATCTTTCAATATTTAAAAAATCTTCTATGAAAACATTTCAATATTGAAAAATCTTCTATGAAAACATTTCAATATTGAAAAATTTTCTATGAAAACTTTTCAATATCAAAAATTTTTGTATGAAAAATTTCAACATTTTATTTTTGTTTTTGTAGAATAATGTTTTACACTTAAGTACAATTTAAATTAAAAAAAAAGTAAATATATAAAAAAAACTAAACAAAAATTATACATTCGACTTTTTTCTTCCAAAAACTACTTTAAATTTATTACAAAAACTTGTTAAAACCTATTTTTTATAAAAATTTAGTTATTTCCTTTAATCACATCCGTTTGTAATATTAGTAAATATAAATTTAAAAAAAAACTAAAACTATTTAAATATTATAATAAAAAATGTAAACTTTAGTTTGTAAAAATATAAAACCTATTCATACTTTTGAGATCCTATTTTAAGTTTAATCGAAAAAAGGAAAAAAAAAAACTTTTTAATAAAAAAACAAAGAAAACATTTCAAAAAACAACCAAAACAAATAGTTTTTAATGTTAAATTAATGGAAAGAAAGAGTAAATTAACAATTTTTAAAGAAAGAATGAAGAAATAAAAAATTTTAATTATAATTGTAAAAATTGTTCTGAATTTTTTTTTTTAACCTAAAGGAAAGTATTAAATTTTGAAGGAGAAAAAAAATTAGATTTTTAAAATTTTGCTGTGACATTATTGATTTTCTATGAAAATATTTCTATATCGAAATACATATTTTTAACAATTTTCAATATATAACAAAGTTTTCTATGAAAACTTTTCAATATCGAAAAATTTTTAATGAAAACTTCTCAATATCCAAAAGTTTTTTATGAAAACTTCTTAATATCCAACAATTTTCTATGAAAAGTTTTCAATATCAAACAATTTTCTATGAAAACTTTTCAATATCGAACATCTTTCTATGAAGATATTTCAATATCGAAAAATTTTTAATGAAAAGTTGTCAATATCGAACAATTTTCTATGAAAAGTTTTCAATATCAAATAATTTTCTATGAAAACATTTCAATATCGAACAATTTTCTATGAAAACTTTTCCATATCGAACATATTTCTTTGAAAATATATTCAAACGATTTTCTATGAAAACTTTTCAATATCGAACATCTTTCTATGAAAATATTTCAATATCGAAAAATTTTCTATGAAAATATTTCAATATCGAAAAATTTTCTATGAAAATATTTCAATATCGAAAAATTTTCTATAAAAATATTTCAACATCGAAAAATTTTCTATGAAAATATTTTAATATCGAAAAATTTTCTTTCAAAAAATTTTAATATCGAAAAATTTTCTTTCAAAAAATTTTAATATCGAAAAATTTTCTTAGAAAAAATTTCAATATCGAAAAATTTTCTTTGAAAAAATTTCAATATCGAAAAATTTTCTTTGAAAAAATTTCAATATCGAAAAATTTTCTAAAAAAAATTTTAATATCGAAAAATTTTCTATGAAAAAATTTTAATATCGAAAAATTTTCTATGAAACAATTTTAATATCGAAAAAATTTCTATGAAACAATTTCAATATCGAAAAATTTTCTATGAAAAAATTTCAATATCGAAAAACGTTCTATAAAAACTTTTCAATACTGTCCGATTTCTTAATATCGAAAAATTTTCTATGAAACAATTTCAACATCGAAAAATTTTCTATGAAAAAATTTCAATATCGAAAAATGTTCTATAAAAACTTTTCAATACTGCTTAATATCTTAATATCGAAAAAAACTTCTATGAAAATATTTCAATATCGAAAATTTTTCTATGAAAATATTTCAATATCGAAAATTTTTCTATGAAAATATTTCAATATCGAAAATTTTTCTATGAAAATATTTCAATATCGAAAATTTTTCTATGAAAATATTTCAATATCAAAAAATTTTTTATGAAAATATTTCAATATCGAAAAATTTTCTATGAAAATATTTCAATATCGAAAAATTTTCTATGAAAATATTTCAATATCGAAAAATTTTCTATGAAAATATTTCAATATCGAAAAATTTTCTATGAAAATATTTCAATATCGAAAAATTTTCTATGAAAATATTTCAATATCGAAAAATTTTCTATGAAAATATTTCAATATCGAAAAATTTTCTATGAAAATATTTCAATATCGAAAAATTTTCTATGAAAATATTTCAATATCGAAAAATTTTCTATGAAAATATTTCAATATCGAAAAATTTTCTATGAAAATATTTCAATATCGAAAAAATTTCTATGAAAATATTTCAATATCGAAAAATTTTGTATGAAAATATTTCACTATCGAAAAATTTTCTATGAAAATATTTCAATATCGAAAAATTTTCTATGAAAATATTTCAATATCGAAAAATTTTCTATGAAAATATTTCAATATCGAAAAATTTTCTATGAAAATATTTCAATATCGAAAAATTTTCTATGAAAATATTTCAATATCGAAAAATTTTCTATGAAAATATTTCAATATCGAAAAATTTTCTATGAAAATATTTCAATATCGAAAAATTTTCTATGAAAATATTTCAATATCGAAAAATTTTCTATGAAAATATTTCAATATCGAAAAATTTTCTATGAAAATATTTCAATATCGAAAAATTTTCTATGAAAATATTTCAATATCGAAAAATT